TTGCAGGAAACCTGCTCCCAAATGCCACCTCTGGACAAAGGACTCAGCCAAAGGCAGGTGGCTGTGCAGGTCAGGGAGGGCCCAATGGAGCATTCTCCACTAATCCTGGGCAGTGATACACACACGACACTGAATGTGTGTGTCCTAAGGATGGGCCTGGCCCCAAGGGCAGGTCTGGGAGGCCCCCTACTCATCACTGAGCCCACCCGCCCACTAGACCCCATTAGACTCGGCCTTTTGTGGACACTGATGCACATACTTTCCTCAGGAGCATTCAGGGACCTTGGAATGCTGAACTTGGATTCACAGACTCCATGAGCCGTTACTATTGGCTTCTAGGGGCAGGGGGAGGTGGTTTTGTTAATACTAACACTGTCAGATAAGCATTGAATTGCTAACCACAGAATCAGTGGTTCAAACCCTCCAGCAGCTCTGAAGGAGAAAAATAAAGCTGTCTGTTCCCGTACACATTTACATACAGCCTCCGGAACCCTCTACAGGGTCACTATGAGTCAGAACCAACTCGATGGCACCTAACCATAACGCCAACATTGTTCTTATTATTCACATAGGCAACAATTGTGGGGATGGCGCAGGACCAAGCAGTGTTGTGTTTGTTCTGATGTACACAGGGTCGCTATGAGTCAAAACCAACTTGATGTCACCTAACAACAGCAGAAACAACAACAAAACTGCCACTCCGTTTTTTGGAAAATTTGGAAATTTGAAAAAAAAATACCAAAAGCACTTACCCCCATCATCCTGAGGGAAACACACATTGCTGTCGGCATTTCCAGTAGAGATGGAGCTAAAATACCACAGGGACATTAGTGGTAGAATTGTTACCTTCCATGCAGGAGTCCTGGGGTGGCACTGTGGGCTAGTGCGCTGGACTACAAAGTCGTTTGAACCTCAAGATCAGCAGTTCAAGCTCACCAGGTGCTCCTTGGAAACCCTATACAGGGTTACTATGGGTTGGAACTGACTCAACAGCACTTCACAACAACAACAACACGAAGGAGACCCAGGTTCGAGTCCGGCCAATGCACCTCATGGGCAGCCCTCCCATCTAAGAGGTTTGTGTGCTGCTAGGAAGTTGAACAGGGTTCAGCAGAGTGTCTAGATTCAGATGGGTTAGGAAGCAGGGCCTAGCCATCTCCTCTCCAATGTCACACAGTGAAAACTCTGTGTAGATCCACAACTGATCATGGGGCCAACTCAGGATCAGGCAGCGTTGCGCTCCATTGTGCAAGAAGTCGTCAGGGGTTGAGGGCCAACTCAGCAGCATCTAACAACAATAACAACACAGAGATATACAGAAGTAAAATACCTGCTTATTTTTTTAATGAGACAGTCTGATCTTTTTCGTGTGAACACTGTGAATCTCTTCCTGTCACTTAGCGAAGCCGACACACAGTCATTCTAATGACTGCCCATTTGCCAGCAGAGATATGCCCAGCCTACGTGTTGAATTGTGTTTGCCTCATCCCTGTGGCACTGTAACCTAAACCGTGGCCCCCTCTAAGAAAGTAGCGGTGTTTAACAAATTAGATGCTCTTCATTAAAATGAAAAGGTCACTTCCGGCTCTCCAGAGGGTGTCAAGCCCCTTGTTCTTCTGAAAGATAGCATCCATGTTACAAATAGCAAAGCTGGCCATTAGCAAGTTATACTGTGGAAGTGGTAGAGAGGGTGGATTTTATTCCCCAGGGCTGCTTTAAAAGAGAGAGGGGGGGTAATGTTTTGTAATTGTTTGTAAGCGCACACAGGCTCGATAGCAAAATGAGACGGAACCCTTGATTTCTAACCTCCTGCGGTACTGCTCAAAATTCCACCCAGAGAGACAAGTAGGGAGCCAATCTGAAGTACTCTGATTGTGAAATTTGCATCCTCTCTTCGCTGGTTATTGTCCCAAAGGGCATTTCACATCAAACCGCATTTGTTTGTAAAGATCTTTTACCCAAGACAGACCACTTCTCAAGATACCCGTTGGTATGGAGGCTGATAAATAGAAAGAATTAAAATGCCAAGAGTCCCCGGGGTGGAAATAGACATGGATTGAAGGGCAGTCAGCTCCCAGCCCTAAACCCTCCGTGGATGATCTGACTGATCCTCAGTTAGGTAAATAATAGCCGAAGCAGCTGCAATAGGAAGAAAAGCTGAAAGGTGTTAATTAACAAAACACATTTGGTGGATGCATTGGCTTTTAGGGAGTGCCATCCCTGAGCTAAGCACTGCAGTAGGCATGAAGGAATAGAACCCCATTTCTATGCCAGGGAGCCAAGTGTGGCGCTGTGGAATAAAACACTGGACCACAAGGTCAATTTGAGTCACAAGGTCCATGGTTCAAACTCACCAGCTGCTGCTTGGAAACCCTATTCAGGGTCGCTATGAGTTTGACAGCACTTAACAACAACAAGCTACCCAACAGGATGCATAGGGGCTCATAAACATGTGAAATGGGATGTCCAGGTACCTGCATACAAGGTATATGATGACAAACAGGCGTGGTCCCTCTGCCTGGTGGCCCTGAGAAGGCTTCCTAGAGGAAGAGGAGGAAAGCTAGGACTGTGTCAGCCATCATGGGAGGCCAGGAAGAGGCAGGGAGCATGTTCTCTGAACCACACCTGGTCAGGTAGAAAGACACATCCATCACTGACAAGGGTGGAGCATCAGGAGATAAACTTAGTGAGCTTCATCCTCTGTCCTTTCTACAGCAAGCAAAGGTGCCACTGGGGGGAGGTTTTGTTTT